TGATCCAAAACCCAAACTGTGCTTGTTTATGTGCAGAAGATACAATGCGAAGAGTTATTTTGCATGAGATGGGCCCTTCACAATAACTCTCAGCTTTGTTCATTTGTAAAGCGTAAAAAAAAATCCTGTCTGAGACGCTAAATTGTTCGTGTATTCACAATAACTCATAATTGTTCAAACAGTTGGGTGATTACAGCGTCCCCCACGCCCGCATCCCTCTGTCATTATCCGAGTCAGTGTGGTTACTGTTCGCTGGCAGTTCAGTGATGATTCTGGTCTTGGTGAAAGCTCGGACCACAGTTGATCCTGATCCATTGGCAGATCGTGGCGTAAGTCTCTCGGTGCTGTCTCTCTGTCTTGGTGAATGTGTGTTCTCCTTCTCTCATCCACTGCTCCCACACAGCTCGCACTTTCACTTTATAACAGCCTTGAGTTTAAAGTGGGCATTGTGAGCGTGTCTCTTGACAGGTGCATTTTGATATTAAAAGGAATCACAGTATGTTTTACTCCTGATGCTCCTAACTACAGGAGCCATAACGCTGCAAGTGGTGCGGCTTTGTAGTTTACTAAAGTCGTACTAAGACACCCCAATAAATTCTTATATAAGGCGCGCAGTTGTTTTTTTAATCAAATTATAAGCTTTTAATTATGGGCTTTTTTATTCAATTACCACCTGTAATTGAATAAATGTAAGGCAGAGCAGTTTAATGCCATTCTATGGAACATAACAACTCCACCAGGAAAGTTACGCAATGTTTCTTTACCCTTTGAGCCTGCAGTGCTGCATACAGACGTCTCCCATGATCCCTCGCACCGGAGCGGGGGCCTGTTTCTCATTAGATACAGTACAATTATCCCCGTACATGTAGTTATGAAAACTTTTACAAGGACGCGTTCAGTTTTTGTCCCTCAGCTCCTCCCATACTTCCCAGGGACTCACTTCCTGCTTGGAGTCGGCTTTGATCAGGTCGTCAAACTGCAGCGAACGCTAAATTTTTACGAGGAGTTTTTATGAAAGCAGCGTGATCTGAGCAGACTGAGCGCGCTGAGGCCGGAGCAACAGCACACGAGCACGATTATAATGAAAAGATAAGGAAAAGTCTGTGTCCCTGTGGGTTTTTATGACGGTTATTATATATTTGGTATATTTGGTTAAAGGTGAGTAAAGGTGTGTGACTTTTTGCCTGAAACGTTCCACAGTGTGACATTAAACAGCAATTCAGTTACAGGTGGTTTTATAACTCAAAAAGACTGTAAGGCTACGTTCAGACTGCAGGGCTTAACGCTGAATTCCGATTTTTTTTTGTGAAATCCGATGTTTTTTCGAGGTCGTTCACATTTCCAATTAAATATGACTTGTATGTGATCT